TTCCTAAAATGGTCGTGCTTTTGGTGGTAGAATGCAGCCTACACCACTCCCCCATCTCCCTGCCACCTAATGGTTTACGGTGACATAAGCGTCACCAAGGTAAAAAAAAAGGTGTGGTGACTGGAAAACCACAGACCCAGCCCTGCTTAGGCTGGCCCGGCCCACCCACCCACTCCTCACAACCACCCACCTATCCGCCCTTCCCATCCAACCATCCATCCCTCCCTTGGTGAGACAGGGCCCACCACAGCAGGGCAGGGACGCACTTTCCTTTGCCCTGGGAGTGGCCCTACCTCACCGCTCTGGAATGCTTTTATGTGGATAACAAAAAAAACCCCTCCGAGTTGAACTTAAAGACTCGATGCAGTTTTACCATTTGCAACGACGTTTACATTCAAGATGTTTTTTTTTTAAGTCACGCTGTTGTGTTTTGCTATGTATTGCCAATTTGGTCATAGTTGCCATAAGTTTACAAGAACTCACAGTACCTCATTGTTTCACTCTTAACGCTGTTTAAAGTTTTAATCCTGTCTAGAAATACAATTAAAATATATAGATATACAACGAAAGTATTTCACTCAGTCACGGTTCATTCTTTCAGCTCTGTTATCTGTTTTATATGGGGGGGGGGGGGGGAAGATACATCTTGGCACGCGAGGCAAACAATACATCGGAACAGACGAGAATGTGTAAAGTCTTGGAACAGTGAGCACAAAAGCAGCAGGGATGTTCCCGTGCGGGAGCGGGCGCTGTGATACCAAGAGGGACAAGACGTAAGCCGTGTTTTAATCAGCCGACATTTGTAGGGCTGTCCATGAGTTGCTGTAGAGGACAACACCGGACGTGAAAATCAGAGGTTTAAATACCCCCCGCGTCTACCCACCACCCGGCAGTATACATGGGAACACCGTGGTTAGTCGATCGGCAGTTCGCGTGTGGTGGGGTAAACTGTGGGTACTCCCCACCCATTCCAAGACATCTTGCCAAGCGTGTTGAACTTATTTTGCATCGTACGCAGCCAACGTGCTAATCGAAGGTGCGATCAATATAGGGGTTCTGTATATCTCCCTCTACTGGAGGGCCTTCCACGTTCAGTGAACAAGCAATTGCAGCGCTGCAATTTTACCTTTGACGTAAAAAAAAAGCTTTGCTTCAAACGACTCTATTATTAGACTGTCGGGACGACTGTGAATGACAAGAGACCTTTACATTAACATACCATCATCGCCCACGTTGTATCACTATCACTAGATTGATAAACTCATTTCTTTAGAACTGATTTTTGTGTTTTAGTTTGTTGTCCTTTCCCCCTCTACGTACGGTGGTAAAGAAGTTCAACGTAGATCCGTGCACCCCCCACGGAACCACGATGCCACAATCCGTCTCGCTCGTGCGCGTGAGCTACTTACTACGGCCTATCTCTCCATCTCTGCTTGCGTGCGTTCACTCCTTTTGCTGCCATTCCATCGCTAGTCTCGTAAATGAGCCATTGTCTCACCTAATAACGACATCTTGTCTTACTTGCGTCTTTCTAAAAAAAAAATGTGTTCAATTTGCGTTTGTTGCATGTGTGTATGTTGAACTTCTTTTGCACCGCACGTAGCCAACCGCGCCAATCGGAAGTGCGGGGGGAGGACAACAAACTAAACGCAAAAAGCAGTTCTAAATTAATTAGTTTTCGATGTAAATTAAAAGTGGATAAGCTCCCAGTAGCTTCCGGAAGGAAGAGCGTTCCAGACGAACGCAGAAAGCGCGCGATGCAGTCACCGTATTTGTTCGATGGCCAGCCAAAAGGTTGCTGAGAATATGATCACGCGTTCCTCTCTCTTAGTGGAATTTCCAGCATGATCTCCCTACACTTCTTGGTGTACTTTTCATCTTTTCTTTAATGTGCTTTGCAATTGTCCCAGTGTCTCATCCATGTGACGCGGTAGGTAAAATATGCTTTTGGATAACACATTTAATTTGCTAAAGACACGCGTTCTTGCTCAAGCTCAACTCGATTTCATGGATTCACCAGTTTGTTGAATTAACTGTCAGACTTTCTAATAAATGCTGTCTCAGAATTCTCACCAATCTTGAAATAGTTAATAATAACAATTTGTTGTGGTAGTATAAAGTATTTACGACACGGGTATATTGGTGGTATATTGGCAATATAGGCAGAAACAGTAATATACGTGAGAGCATATTCAACATTGAAAGTGTAAAACCAGTAAGTTACCAAATATGTAAGCGTAAGGTGTCTTTTTTTAGGAGAGAGGCACACCTATCGTATGATGCATGATGGAGGTTAGAGGCAGACAAACCTCACAAGTTACATAGCCCAAGGGACACGACAGTAGACGTTCCTCCTTTTTTAACTCATGCTGTTACTAAAGTACACGATTCACGGGTCTCTTTTGCGAGGCTTTTTACCACTCTTGATGTGCAACAATTACGTAGTGAGTAGATACATTTAGCGTTGTAATAACATAAATGGACTGCGCCTATTGAAATGCGGCTTTAGTTGTTTTACAGAGGAATTCAGTGCGGAACATAACACGTGGTCGCTCGCGAACATCGCAAGTGAAGTCAGGTCAAGCACAATAAGCTGCGACGTCCTTCCTCATGCCTGATATGCTTCGTTTGAAAGCTTTCATCCTCCGTATTCCATGCCACGACCGTGTCAGCACACGATCTTGCACGCGTACCGCACGCAGCGAAAGATGGAGGTGAACATGACCGGTTTACATGTCTTCACGTTTAAAGAGGCAGCACTGTGGAAATGGATTTCGGTTTATTCCTCCGTGGTGGTCACAGAGACGTGAACGGAATAGATTTGGCAATGGGGCATCGCGGGATCAAGCACTGAAACGGCAAAAAAGTCGAATATTTGCACAATGTCGACAGATGGCGCTGCAAAAAACATAGCATAAACTTAAAGCAGATAACGAATGCTTCTTGCAACGAATAACCCCATTTCAAATCGACAGTAGAAATTTTCATTTTTTACCAGGTAATTCCCACTTATCTATATTGCTATTTTTTCAGAGGCGACCTCGCCACAACTGATAGCTTAACGAAGTGGCTTATCACATGGAAACTAAAAGCAGCCAAATATTCTAAGAGTATGTTTCTAAATGTGTAGGAATCCACGCAACCACGTTGGTGGGGGGGTGGGGGGGGAGAGACACAAACTCCAAATATACAACAGGGTTCAGGGTCGGAATTGTGGTCAAACTCACGACCTCCTGTATACCAGGCGATGGAGTTAACTTGTCTTCCTAATATCGGAAGGAAGAGCGTTCCAGATCGCCGCAGAAGCGCATCTCAAAGCGAAAGAGTGGCGTCAGCAAAGCAATTGCAAGGGTGCAAATGTGTCTATCACCTTTACAATGAAGAAAGATCAACTTTGGCCAGCTTGCACAGACTGGATGGGGTGGTAAGCAGACCAAACTACCGTGCGAATGTATAGAAAGCAGTGTATGTGTAACTGATGATAGCATATTAATATTTTACAGCTCTTTGTAAATCCACTGCCGGATTTAGTTGTGATCACGCCATGGTTGGTGCTGGGTGGTGGAGGGGTTTCCGAGGCTGTTTACAACATCACTCGCCACTGATGTTAGCCGTGGCCAGGAATATCGTCAAGTTCAAAGCATAGTGCTCTCACCACGATGCCACGTCACCGTCCCATAGTTGTTGCGAAGTCCAGGCCCAGCGTCCTCAAAAACACTCGTTTGTTATCACTGGCATTCTTTGCACAAGCATCAAAAAGACAAAGATTTACCGTATAGCCTTAACAGACTGTAGGGGCAAGTGCTGTTAGCGAGCATCTGTGAAGGCCGGCACGGCACACGAGGGGGTGGGTGGCCAACACCACGCGCAGCCGCCTTTGTCTCCCTAGTGGCGATGTTGTACACACCGCATCAGGTACTCATTTCAGGCTGAGTCGACCTAGGGGAGGCTCAGGACCGGTTCAGATACTCGTCACTGGGTGTTGGCCGTGAGCGGGAATCGAACCGGGGTGGCCGTGAGCGGGAATCGAACCGGGGTGGCCAGGTTCGTAGCGCAGCGTAGCGCTCACCACTACACCACCGCTCCCCACTACAACATACACACGCATGTACTGTAGTTACATTGTCAATACAAAGAGTGTGAGCGTACTTGTTTAGGCAGAGGCTTTTAAGTGTTCTCATTTAGGAAAAGAAGGCTTATAACACTTTGACACAGCCCTTAATGTGTCCATCCACTGTTGAATGAAAGACTGCTCCACAATATGTAGGTCATGAGCTTTGTTTTGCCAAAGTTCACCACGTTTGTGAGTGCGGGTTGGTGAGAGACCCATGGTTTACGTGTTACACGCCACCGATTTTAGCCATGGTCAGGAATTCAACTCAGGTCGTCGGGTTGATCATAGAGTGCGCGGACCGCTGCGTTAACAAACTCCGCCACGATGTAATTGCCTTTGGTATGCGCCATCACCTAATTGCACGTAAGTACATGACTATGTGCAATTTACGGGGCTGTGTTTTTAAGGTCTCATTATGCCATTCGCAGAATATTATTCCATTGGCCCATGATCCGCGCCTCGCCCGAGGTGGCGAGAGGCGAGTGAACCATGACGTGAACACAAAGGAATCTGTGGTTGACTTGGCAGCAGCCAACACAAAATGTTGTTGGCAATTTTTTTTAGCACCGACAAAGTGAGCCTCAAACCTACACCAAACATCAATGTCCCTTTGCAGCCGCCACCTCTCGTATCGTGTACAGCCGCGATAAACATTTCCCACTGCAATTCAAAACATTGTTGAAAGTGGCTTCAAACAACGAGCCCGGTTCGCCGGCCGGCCGCCCTGTGTCTGTGTGTGGGGGGCGGTCAAGGCGGAGCGTGCAAGGAGAGAGAGAGACGGGTCGGGTGGGGGGGTGCCTCGAGGCGGCAGGAGAGAACTTGTCGGGACGGTTCGTGCCACCCATCACCCACCCACTCACCCGTCCGCCGTGGCGGGCGGGCGGAGGGAGGGAGGTGGCTTTGTGACCCACCACCAGTGGCTGGGGTGGAGTTTGACGCGTGAAAGGCTATGGCCGGTGGGTGTCAGGTTGTCTGCGAACTTTCAGGGGCCACCACCTCGCCCTACCCCTTCCCTGTGTCTCGGGCTTGACGACGCGAGCCTCTTCCTGCACCCGCAGCAGCAACAGCAGCAGCCCGACTCTGCCGTTTCTGTTGTTATTAATCACCACCATCATCATCACCACCACCGCAGATCATCAACGTTCGTGACGTCCCCAACCACCACCACCGCCGCCGCCCACCTCCCCTGTTAAGTCACCCGGCAGGCCCTACCGCTGCGATCCGTCCTGCTCGAGCAGAGTGTTTCTCTCGAACGACCGCCCTCATGCAACAGCACCCCGTGGAGATGGGGCTGCCGCCTCAAGGGAACCAATTCGGCGCCTACGACGGAGACTTCCCTCGCTACTCCGGCGGCGGCGGCGGCAGCTACCACTTGGCCAACTACAGCAGCAGCACGGACACCGCCAACGTCAGGTGTGGATGTTGACGGCTGGCGATGGTGTTCATGGCAGTTTTGAGTTGGATCAGTTGGCGGCAGTGGCTTTGTGATTTGTGTGTTTGTTGTTGTTGTTTTTTTTCGCAAGAAGCTTTCGCGGATTTGCATCGCGCCGAGAATCGTAGTGAGTGCGCGCGGCGCTGTGTTTTTTTGAGGTTGCGCTTAACGCGACGTTTAATTGTGCCGCTTGATATAATTAATTAGTTAAGAAGCCAAGGTATAACATATGCTCATCAAGAATAGTTTTGCTCATACATTATTCATATATGTTTATTTGAAACATTACACTTGTACAGTATCCGCGCAACCACTTTTAGTTCCTTCCTCAACTACCAAAACTTAAGTCAACACGCTGAGCACGAAGGAAGTTTGACACATTTAAAGCTGCTATATTTTTTCTGGAGAGCGTACTCCCCCCCCCCCCCCATACATCCAATCAGCACGGTTGGCTACGTACGGTGCGAAAGAAGTTCATGAAACATTTAGCGAGCCCTCTGCACGCGCGAATGTCAAAGTCGTAGCCGCGTAATGATGCGGTGGGGTCCATTTCTGCGCAGGTCCAAAGGAAGCCTCCCCAAGGGTTCCGGTCTCCCCGTCAACTTTCAAATGGAATTCTCCAAGTTTGAGGAGCTGCTGAAGAAGCTTGACACCAACCTGCAGGCTGTAAGCTCCCGCACGTGACGATTGGCATCTTTCAAGCCCGCACCTGCCCTTCCCTGTGCTAACGAATCACGTCGATGTTGTAGTAGTAGTCGTGCGTGCTGTGTACAGTGCCATCATAAATCAACACATTTGGAGGGGGGAAGGGGGGGCATGTGAACAGTACACATGGACGAATCGCGTCATGCAGCAGCATGGGCCTGTGGTCACGCTATGTATTTTCCCGATACGGATTAATGTGTTGATTTGTTTTTTTCATCTCTGTGATCATGCATACACCTTCATATGTATGACTGTTGGGCGTCATCACAACAGAGATAATCGTGAACGTGACCTTTACTAGAAGCCGGATTATCCCAAGAGCAAAAGTATCTGCATATGCTACGGGCCCCGCACTTGCAAGGGCCCCGCGCTAAATGCTTTCAATCTATCAACTCCGGTTCAGTGATTCTGCACTTGCTCTATTACTATAGTACTATACCGTCTTCAACTTTTATTAACGAAGGTTAGCGATTTGTATTATCTGGCTGTATAGCCAATGAAAAATTACAATGACTTTACTGTGCAAGTTAAAAATGTACGTGTTTTAATATTTATGTGTGTTTTTTTTATTTAGGGCCCTTTTATAAAATATGCTACAGGTCCCGCATTAGCTTCATCTGGCACTGACCTTTACCCTTTGGATAACGCGGATGTTAGCGTCTAATATTTCGTCCTTACATACCTGTCTTGACTTCCTGTCACAACCGTGTTGTATTTATTACGGGACCCAAGCTCCCATACACGAAGAGACAGTCTTCTAGGGCTCTCACCTGGTTTTGAATAAAGGAACTGTGTTTAGATTGTTGTCCTTCCCCGAGCACCTCCGATTAGCACCGTTGGCTACCTTCGGTGCGAAAGAAGTTCAACGTACATACGTACGTGATGCAGTACCTGTGGTTTTGCTGCCCTTTCATAGTACAGTACTTCCTCGCTCACATTGTGGGTGTGAAAACAAGGTCGTCACTCTTTGTGAATCTTTTTTTTCCATTCTTAACATGGCATTGACTCAAAATAGATAAACTTTTGATATTGGGCGTTTTTGTGCATGGGAAACATCTCTGTTGCAATATATGACGTAACACATTCGTGTGGCTTTAGCACACATTGCGATCGTATTTTGTAATGATTCATAATGTGTTCACCATAAGTAATTGTATTTTTTTAACAATCCAATACAAATAGGATTTATATAATGTCTAAATTTGATCCCATCTCAAGACGCTGTGGAGAAACGGTCACTTATTTTATAGAGATAGAGACAGTCATAGGCAGAGTATTTAATTCATATTATATACTTAATTTGTTAACGTTTGTAATTGGGTTGACTGATGAACCAGCATTTGCCGATTCACTCCAGTCACTCACTCATCAGTGGTCAGTCACCTCCCTTATAACTCTTCTATCACTCTGACCATGGCTGCTATGCCCGTGAACTTCACTCATTGATTCCTGCTCCCATATTCGGGGCACGATCTGCCAGACTGACTTTGTTCCTCTCATTCACGGTTGTTGTTCACAGTCGCCACACTGCAGATTAAAACACTTCTCTCCGCTTCTTCCCTCGCACTGCTCAACTTTGAATTCCCTCCCGTTGTCTAAGGTGTTCCCCCAAGACCCTGTAATAACCTTGCTCGCTTCAATAAACGCATTCACTCTTTATCTGTTGCGACCTTCATAGCGCTCTTCGTTTCTGTGCCGCTTGGCATTTTAGGGCCTTTGGGCCCTGCGCTAGACAACTGTGATAAACAAAAAGCTAACGTAAAACCAACGTGCGGTTGGCTACGTACGGTGCGAAAGAAGTTCAACATACATAAGCTTCTCATTCATTGAATTCACCTTGACTTGTCATTTTACGGTTTAACCGGGTGAGAACTCAAGGGACCAGGATACTGTGGTCTCACAAAAATGTAAATTTTCCCCCGACAGGATCTGCGGCGCTTGGACACAGGTCACCAGCCATGGCACATCGCCGAGACTGACGAATACCTGATGCAGGCACGGCGCCAGCTCAAGTGGCTCTCGGAAAAGATCCAGCTCTACGATACGCGGAACCCTGACTCCAACGCCCTGTACAACAGGTACACGCAGCGCGGCCTTACGCCACCAGCCTGGCATGCCTGAGACACTGCCAACTCGGTGACGTTATTATTTTAATTTTTTAACGACGAGTGGTGTCTGCTCGAGGGCAAGGCTCTGGGGCGAATTAAATAGAAAGGAAATTACCATTTCTATATATAATTGGACGACCAATTATATAACGGTCTGCGCGACAGCTTGGGTTATTATTATGCAGGCAATTTAGTGGACTGTACGTTTAAGACGATGCCTGCCTTTATCTAACGCGCAGTTCGCTCCTGTGATGATGGATTACTCTCGGTTTGTATGGTTCTATTGGGGGTGGAACAGGGGGCGCAGTGGTCAGCACACTTGTGCTGTGAACCTGGTGACATAAGATTGATTCTCGGTCGTGGCTGGCGTATTTATCTACAATGGTCTCTGAGGCTCTTGACCAATCAGCACTGCCCCAAAGAATGCGGAGGTCAAAAAACTGCGGAGCCATTCATCCAGCAGTGGATTGACAAATTAGCCGTGAATTGTTTAACGATTAAAATGTATGGAATGGTTTGTGCACCACAACTATTCACTGCACGCGTGTATATGGAATCAAAATCAATTTCCCCAGGCACTTGTGTTGAATAAATTCGCTGAGTGGTCTGGAACTATAAATTATGTGTATTTTAAATATCGTACTTGCAAGCCAGATGAGATCAACTACCACTTAAACTAGAGTGGTAGAATACGATCAAACAACTTCCATGATGGAGGTGGTGTCGGTAGGTCTTCATCCAGCAGTGGATTGACGAAAGGCTGTAAATTATAATCAGTTTCATAACAGTGAGAACACAAGCAAACTGTAATTGATGTCCACTAATTTCACTCCCATACAGTGCATCTTTTATTGCCCTGCCAACAGCAAATGATTAGGTGATGTAAATAATTGACATCGTAAATTTGTTTTCGTGATTGCTGCATGTGCATTTTACGCCTCACGATTGTTATACTTCACCCCTCAACTGCCTCCTGTTTAATTTTGATTTAAAGCTTTCATGACTGCAGGGATTCATATTCTTGGTTCTTTTGGTAAAGTCACGTAGAAGGGAAACAATAAAATAATAAAAAATATTAAACAATAAAATTATCACGACGTTTCGATTGCAACACAAGCAATCATCATCAGGTGTGAAAACCACAGCAAGAAAATTAATAGTTTTATTTTTATTATTTTATTATTTCCCTTCTACGTGACTTTACCGAAAGAACCAAGAATATGAATCCCTGCAGTCACGAAAGCTTTAAATCGAAATTTATCCTACCGTGTTGTTGTAAAGTTCTGACCTACTGGACATCTGTGATCAAATATCTTCATCCCTTATGGATTCCTCCAGTATGAATAAATATTTTGATTCTGAGCACAACCGACAATAGCTATGCACTGCAGTTGTACAATGATTTGCTCGTGCTGCTGCTGCTTGACAAGCATCGCTCCTCTCTCTTTTGGAATTCCAGGCTCGTGCAGCTGCAGGACGAGCTCCAGGTGATGAGGCAGTACCGGGCCTCGCTCAATCAGTTCCCTGACGGCGGGGCGCAAACGAGCACGTTTCAGCAGAATTTATCAGGCCAGCAGTCCTTCACGTGCCCCCAGTGCAATGTGCAGCCAGGGCTGGGCGGGCAGCAGCATCAGTTTTCTGGCTGCGAGGAGCACGTGGTCGTGCGTAACAGCCAAGTCGTGCAGGAGCAATTTCAGAACCTGGGTCTGAGCCAAGCGTCTGGCAAGGGCAAGCATTACAACGGCGTGAGCGCGGTCTCCAGCCAGGAGGCTGCGGGTCACCTCCGCTCCATTAAGGACCTCCTCAGCTGGGTGAACAGCAAGGAGGTTGGTTCCATTTAAACAGACTGAAAAAAAAACCCACACAACTCACCCGCCGTCATCAACATCGCACGCCAATCGGAGCACTCGGAAATTAGCCAGATCTTGGCGGATTTTTTTGAGAATTATTCACAGTTGATCCTGGTGAGTGTTTGGATAGGAGGGCCGTCTGGGAATACCAGGTCAACGAGGGGGCCAGGAGAAGTCAATATAGCAATAGATTTAATCTATTTGTGTGGAGCTGAGCGTCGGTCCATCGTATGTGTGGATTTTCTCCGAATACTCCGGTTTCCTACCACGTGCCAAACGCTCATTAATTAAATTGGCCAAACATCTCGATGTAGCAGGACCCGGGCACCCCCTTTACCAACTTGTACTGACCATTCTGGTGAAGTATAGTCAAACAGCCCCTTTGACCAATGTGATGGGGGTGACCCAAGGGCTGTACATTACTAACACACAAATATGCTTTTGTACATTACTCACTTTATATTTGTTTATCGCAGAAGTACTGTACACTGCCTTGGAATGCATTGCTGTATGCATAATATGTGTACTTCGTAGGCGCTTTCAACAATGTCAAGAGACAATTAATTTTTGTTTGCAGAGTGCATTGCATAAGATAAATGCCGAGCGTTGTTATACCTACATGTCCGGACCTAGCTCGCTCTCTACACCCTATATGCGATCGCAATGTGTGGAGGCTGGGGGGGGTGCAGCTAGCGCACACGTGTCCGCGAGTGTCAAATGTGTCGCATTTTTCTTTTGGTGTCATTTGCTGCGCGGGCGGGATAGAAGCCAAGGGCTTTTTTGCTGTTAAGAGTGTTGCAATCACAGCCTCCCATCAACGAGCAGCTTGTGCACTGAAAGTATAAGTGCAGGCAATTGGGGATTTGATTTTCTCGTCAAGGAGCATAAACCTTCACGCGAACTCCGGTCATCATCACAGCAGCGGCATCTTTTAGCCATCCGTCAAACAAAGACGGCCACAGCATCGTGCGTTTTCAGATGCGCTTCTGCGGCTGTCTGGAATGCTCTTCCGATATTTGGAAGCCACTGGAGCTATGCACTTTTAAATCTAGATTTAAAACAAATTTATTGAGAACTTCCTTTTGTGTTTAGCATTTTGTCCCCCCCCCGCACCTCCGATTAGCATGGTTGGTTATGTACAGTGCGGAACAAGTTCATCATATGTACATACATCTGACAGTCTGTACAATGCGTTGTGGTTGACATTGAATGCTGTGCGATGCTTTCAGGACCACTTGAGCCGCATGGTGTGCGCTAGCGATATGAACAGCGTTGAGTCGCAGCAGAAAAACTTCCAGACCATGCAGACTGCTATTGCTGGCTTGGGAAGCCAGGTGGACAGGGCAAACGAGCTGGAGGTAATTTCCTAAGTCATTATCTAAGGAAGTAATGGCTCATGAGTTTTTGTTGTTGTCATACACACTTTGCAAATAACGGGGTTAATCATTAAGTAGATTGCCATAAACAGAAAAAAATAGCCGTATGGCATGGCTAGAGGTGTTTTTCTCGCTATTCTTAGGATGCTCCTAAACCAAAAGAAAATGCTTGAAAAACGTCTTCCAATCAATTGGTTCAGTATTACAAGTGACCAGAATGTTGCATGTCAAATTACGCCAACTTACAATCAAGAGGTGCCTCTCAATTGGTCCCTCAAGTGGAGGCCCTTCTGCCAGCAATGGCACAATCAAGAACTTGCTGGAACCTACGCCTTTTATATTCACTGATATACCTTAATCCATAATGTAAATATGTAACTTCATAGTTAAATAGTTAACATCCTTAATTCATTCTAATCTTATGAGCTGCCATCTGCGGCAAGGGTTTAAACTAGCATCTTGACATATGCTTCACATTAAGGATTTTTGTTGTGAATGCAATAATTACAGTGTTACATATATTTGTACACGGTACATGGGGAAGGCTATGGGACACCATTATACGTAGAGTCAAGTGAAGAGCTAGAACGCGCTAGAGCTAATCTTGACATTGTTGCGCGGCGCTCTGTAATACATTATGAATTCTAGTCAACGATATTTTTCATGCCACTCTTGTAATGCACATCATTGTAAATTTACTTTAGTTCCATGCCCATTCACAGAGCTGACCTCGCAGTGCAATGTCATTACCGATGTGGACAGAAATTCACACTTTGAAAATGCATTCAGAAAACAAATGCTTGTGTCTGCAGCGTTTGCATCTCAGCGGTCTTTATGCTCCAAAGTCCAAATATTTTAACAATAAACTGCAAAGCCGTATGATTTTTTTTGGCATACATAATTATGTACATAAAACTATAAACCCTTCATCTATGTCCATGCTTACATTTGTATTTAGTACTGATGTAGGGGATCTGCGAGCCATCCTCACGCACTTACACCACGCAGACATGAAATGTCCGCACTCAGCATAGCACACACCAACCACACGCACGGGTAATAGACGGGGGTCACACGGACTCGGCGTGCCAGACGGAGATGTGTATTGGGAACGAGGTCGGAGATGGAGCGTTTAAAAGGGGCTGTGAGACGCGTGTCGGGGGTTGGTTTTAGGAACGAGTGTGGCTGTGGGTTAAGGAAGAAACAAGTGCGTAACCAGTCTCCTACTTCTCTTCACTACAATAGCTCGATTGCGCTTCAAACACCTGTCCCAATGAATTCCTTCTTTTTGACGTGCATTTTAGTTCGTGGTATTATTTGTGCATTGCTACAAGAACAAGGGCTATTCTAACCCAGGGCATGCACGAGCGCAACTTTGTTAGGGCTGGCACGCATTGCAACCGCAGAGAATGAACACATTGTTGTTCATAGCATGTTCTAGAAATGTGACTGGCATCCTCCAGTCTGTAACGGCTGTTACATTAATACAATTTATAAGAATCATCCAAAATGAAATCACTCCTTATGTAACATCAATACTTTATTGCGGTTTTTACAAACTAGATAATACATAAAATCAGCCTAAAACCTTACAATGGTCATTTTAAAATTAACAAACACCCCCTTTGAAGTCCTTTGCTGGAATGATTTACAACCTTTAATTTCTGTGTCTGATTTATTATTTCAGTCTAACATGCCACCAGAAATGAGGGATGAATATTGTGACCTTTTGCTGAAGCTCAACTCAAAATACCACAACTTGCTGGTAAGTCACATTTATACCTTGCCCTTTGTACTCAACTTACTTATTGTCTCGCGAGCTAATGCTGTTCTTGCTTTTTTATGGGCTGATTTTTTGTGGTTATGCAATTTAAAGCAACTGCTACTTTTGAGTCATTGTCAATGCCTAAAATAACACAACAGGAGGTTACTATTTTAATAACAGGAATGATGTATATGCCGAACAAAAATACATGGCCAATGGGAACAAAAACTGAAGAGTGCATGAACAAGGAATGGGGAGATGCAGATCGTGATTGAAATTTAAGAGGCAGAAAGATGAACGCATGGATTAGAAAACGTTCAAACTGTTAAGAAGGCAAGTGGGCTTGGTCAGGAAAAGTCGCTGCAAGCGATGATGTGAGACGGTCAAGAGTAATGACAGAATGTCAGCCAGAATCGGAATCTTTATTTATCATGGATAAATCAGATGGGCTATAAAGCTTTTTTGACAGATGTTCAGTAGGGGTGGGTAAGAAAGTCCAGTAAACCATGAAATGGAATGCATCCAGAAGACATCTTCCGAGGAGATGGAGTGACGGAGTCGCCTCGTGTGTAGGTCAGGTATCGGGTGGATGGTTACATTCTAGGATCCTGAGAGATGGCGGTGGCTTAGCGATGCCCTCATCCGGCAGTGGGTTGACCAAGGCCGATGATTTGTTGATCAATAATTGTGGGAAACTATTGGTAATTGTCAGCTTAAAAGAGTGATGTAATTTATAACTGCTCGTGTTGGCAGTAAGTTTTAGTTTAGTGGACATTTAAACAAAATTGTGCCTAAGTGTCTGACAAAGCCAATGAATGCTATTTTTAGCGTATAATAACCCTTATTGCAACGGAATAGCAATAATAAGACATAATGAGTGTTAATAGTGTTATTTAGACTTGATTTGAAGCTTTTGTGACTGCAGGAGTAACTCTTTGGTTCTTTCGGTAAGGTCACGTAGAAAGAAAATAAATTAAATGCTGGGTCTTTCTCTCCCCTGGCTGTCCACACGGCCCTCCACACAGCTCTCTCATTGCAATACATGCTAATTTATCTGCTCCAGCAGATCCACCTCTCTCTCTGCCCCACGCCCCCTCTATCTCTATTTAAGGCCTCGGCACAGAGACGTTGGGTCTCTGTGTGTCCATGTTGTGTGTCTCTCTGTGTGTCTCTGTGTTGTCTCTTTCTGCTTGTGTGTCTGTTTGTGTCCCCGTGTCTGTGTTTTGTCTCTCTCAAATTTAGCAAAGTTCTACCTGATGACGACTGCTTGTGTTGCAATCGAAACGTCGTATTCTATTATTTAATTTATTTTCTTTCTACGTGACTTTACCGATAGAAACAAAGAGTGTTATTCAGCTTTCATAGGTATGCAGCTTACATTTTTATTTTATTTAATGGAAAGTAAATAAAATACCATTAAAATAATACACTACAATCTGGTCCTAATTTTAAATACTACAGGTAAAATATCTGCTAAAAATGTGTACATACTTACATTATTTCTCTACAGTTCTGTTGTTGAGTACGTTAAATCCTGAACCATGAACACGTTCAACAAATAAACACAACAAGCCTTCTCTACCGGCAAACGTTTCTCAGCAATGGCAAAGGACAGCTGGCTGTACTTTACTCTCCCCTTCCTCTTGGGAGGTAACGCATCCAAGGGGATGTAAAACCACGGAGAGGGAGCGTTGAATCCAGGTCATGTGTGGGTTGCTCGACAAATTGTTCCATCGCAGGATCGCGATGGATGAAGATCGCTTGGGGGTTGGCCTTCACCTAGCAGTGGATTGATCATGGTTGATGATCACAATGACGAAAGCCTAGTACTGCACAGCGCATACAGTGAGGGAAAAAAAGTATTTGATCCCCTGCTGATTTTGTACGTTTGCCCACTGACAAAGAAATGATCAGTGTATAATTTTAATGGTAGGTTTTTTTGAACAGTGAGAGACAGAATAACAACAAGAAAAATCCAGAAAAACGCATGTCAAAAATTGTATAAATTGATTTGCATTTTAATGAGGGAAATAAGTATTTGACCCCCTCTCAATCAGAAAGATTTCTTGCTCCCAGGTGTCTTTTATACAGGTAACGAGCTGAGATTAGGAACACACTCTTAAAGGGAGTGCTTCTAATCTCAGCTTGTTACTTGTATAAAAGACACCTGTCCACAGAAGCAATCAATCAATCAGATTCCAAACTCTCCACCATGGCCAAGACCAAAGAGCTCTCCAAGGATGTCAGGGACAAGATTGTAGACCTACACAAGGCTGGAATGGGCTACAAGACCATTGCCAAGCAGCTTGGTGAGAAGATGACAACAGTTGGTGCGATTATTTGCAAACGGAAGAAACACAAAAGAACTGTCAATCTCCCTCGGCCTGGGGCTCCATGAAATATCTCACCTCGTGGAGTTGCAATGATCATGAGAACGGTGAGGAATTAGCCCAGAACTACACGGGAGGATCTTGTCAATGGTCTCAAGGCAGCTGGGACCATAGTCACCAATAAACAATTGGTAACACACTACGCCGTGAAGGACTGAAATCCTGCAGCGCCCACAAGATGCCCCTGCTCAAGAAAGCACGTATACATACCTGTCTGAAGTTTGCCAATAAACATCTGAATGATTCAGAGGACAACTGGGTGAAAGTGTTGAGGTCAGATGAGACCAAAATGGAGCTCTTTGGCATCACCTCAACTTGCCGTGTTTGGAGGAGGAGGAATGCTGCCTATGACCCCAAGAACACCATCCCCACCGTCAAACACGGAGGTGGAAACATTATGCTTTGGGGGTGTTTTTCTGCTAAGGGGACAGGACAACTCCACCGCATCAAAGGGGCAATGGACGGGGCCATGTACCGTCAGATCTTGGGTGAGAACCTCCTTCCCTCAGCCAGGGCATTGAAAATGGGTCGTGGATGGGTATTCCAGCATGACAATGACCCAAAACACACGGCCAAGGCAACAAAGGAGTGGCTCAAGAAGAAGCACATTAAGATCCTGGAGTGGCCTAGCCAGTCTCCAGACCTTAATCCCATAGAAAATCTGTGGAGGGAGCTGAAGATTCGAGTTGCCAAACGTCAGCCTCGAAACCATAGTGACTTGTGCAAACCTGGTGGCCAACTACAAGAAACGTCTAACCTCTGTGATTGCCAACAAGGGTTTTGCCACCAAGTACTAAGGCATGTTTTGCAGAGGGATCAAATACTTATTTCCCTCATTAAAATGCAAATCCATTTATAACATTTTTGACATGCGTTTTTCTGGAATTTATGTTGTTATTCTGTCTCTCACTGTTCAAATAAACCTACCATTAAAATTATAGACTGATCATTTCTTTGTCAGAGGGCAAACGTACAAAATCAGCAGGGGATCAAATACTGTTTTTCCCTCACTGTAAATGTACGGGGACATGTTATTTGATTTTATATTTTTCATAGCGCATGTCTGTGGTGCACAGGTCATTGCATATACTGTATATATAAAGTGGATTATCTTATAATCATTAAATTAGGTGTTACCATTTGTCAACCCACTGCTGGATGAAGGACTTCCTATGATGGCGCAGCGGTGGGGAGATGTTAACTCCCTCGCCTGGTATGCAGGAGGTTGTGGTTTCGATCCCTACCCTGACGTCTGCTGTATATTTTGAGTTTTTTAAATATTTTTATCAGGGTCCTCCGGTTTTCCCCTCCACATTTAGAGTCAACATGACTCAGAGTATTTGGCTGCTATGAATTTCCGTGTGATAAAGCCGCTTCTTTGAGCCATCATTTATGATGGCGAGGTCGCCTCAGAAAAAGAGCTACATAGCTCAGTGGGCCTTTGAGGATGATGATGATTGTGTGAAACAGGAATCCTCTGGAAGACACATCCAGCACATGAAGGATCTACGCAGCTTCATGATGCAGGCTACCGAGGAGCTCAAGTGGCTGAACCTGCGTGAGGAGAAGGAGCTCGTCTTCGACTGGAGCGACCGCAACACCAACATGTCGGCCAAACGGGACGCGCACGCGGTGAGCAAACCTGGGGTCGGGGTTCACGCAAAGAGTGGAGATTCTCGGGACTTTTTTTTTCCAGGAGCGTTTTCGCATTTGAGATGTTTGGCCGACTCTGTTATTGAGTAGTTTTACATGTGAGCGGTCCAAAGAGAGCCGGCGCTTGCAATGGGATCAAAAGACAAAGGCAAAGATCACCCGTATAGCCTGGTATAGCCACAGACTGTCGGGGCAAGCATGATTTTCAAGCAACCTATGAAGGCCAGCACGGTGCACGAGGGAGTGGTGCTGCGAGAACGACGTCCAGCTGCCTCTTCCCCCCAGTGGTGATGTTTACACACTGCACCGGGTACTTAGTTAAGGCTGAGCCGGCCAAGGGGAGGCCCAAGACTTGTTCAGATAATCACAACTGACGTAAGCGGAAGTCGAGCTCTGGTCGTCGAGTTTGTAGCGCGGTGCGCTGACCACTGCATCACACCGCACCCCGCAAGGGAAAGGCACGCACATTCACACACGCACTGTAGCTCAGCGACTCACTCTGCGTAGGTCACCTCATCGCCCTGCAGGTGGGTATGCAACACGACAACAACAGCCGCCATTTGCCACTAAGTGGTGGTGACATGCTCGCACTCCCACACACACACGATAATCTCAGCACAATCCAATTATCTGTGCTCAAAATTGCTGGATCACTGGTGGACATCACAATTATTTTGGAACAGGTCATCTGACGCACACCATTGGGAGACCCTCATCCAGCAGTGGGATGAGGCTGGCTGATCAGGATGTTGTGTCCCTCCTGTAGGAGCTGCAAAAGGACTTGGAGAGGAAGGAGGCCGATATTGACCACATCCAGAAACTTGGCGAGCAACTCCTGAAAGACCACCCGGCAGCCGAGACCATCGAGGTGACCCCTGGGGACTGACAACAACAAAAATAATCCTCTTATCCGCGGTGATTTGTGGGAAGGAACATAATGGATCCTATTATCCACAGTGTTACTGCGCAAAAATTTACTCCGTTCATCCGCGGGCAAAAATTGCGTACAATCGTAGGTGATAGGATACATTTACCGATGAACTCCTTATGTCGTGAAATATTTTCAGTTAAATTGGAAGCCAATTGCGGATAATAGGAAGAATATCGTCACGGGTAACAGGATCTTTCGCAGACCCGGCTGCTTCAACGCTGAATGGGAGTCATGGGTCATAGGGTCGCGGATGAGAAGAATTCTCCCGTATTTTGTTGTAACACCACCCTCACGTTAATTGACAATTCGTACTGCCTGGCGGAACGATGCTAACATGCTGATTTTGTATATCTGAAAGGCGTACATGCAAACGCTGCAGACACAGTGGAGCTGGATGTTACAACTTGTCCGCTGCATTGATATACACCTGAGAGAAAACACAAACTACTTTCAGGTATGTTTCCACATCAGCCACACCTTTACTTGAGTTTGTTTATGGTCACAAACAGCTTTGAGCAACCACTCCTACAAATTCCACAAATTGAAATTGCTCTCACCTTACACGGGCCTACGCCATGTTTATTTAAGCAACTTGTACCAGGCCTCTGTTCTGTCTTCACATACATGTAAATATACATTTAGTCGATTGCCTATTTGATTTCCAGATCAATATTATTTAGACGCGTTTTATTAAGGAAACACTGTGGACCAGTTTCAACCGCCTGGGTCTCGTCAACAGTCAGGCTTGTTAAACAAATGCTGCCAGCTTACCAATTGTTAATGGTAAGAGCACTACATTTTAACTATGGTGCCCTATTCTTGCAAGCCAAGAGGCCCATGGACTAAACATATCTTTATTTATAAGACAAGACACAGATCAGAGTTCTAGTTATATATGTTTTATCCATAATGCTTCGACAACAACAATGCATCACGAGTGTAGACAATGTGCTTAACATTTCAGAATACAAGACGCCAAAGTATGTCTTGTTGGAATTCAATTGGCGTGTTTGTGTTTTATTGTTTAGTTTTTTAAAGATGCCCAGGAGGTTGATAAATACTTGATGGGCCAGCAAGAAGCAATAAAAATGAAATATGTGTGTGACAAGTCTACAAACCTGGACAAACTTGATATTCTTCTGAAGTCTGCTATGGTGAGTATTGCTGTACAGAGATTGTAATGTCTCTTTGCAGACATTAATGACCTATTTGTTTACTTCAGACACCTGGCTTATAATTCACTTTTTATTCAAGTAAAAGTCATTTGGTAAGTCAATAGGATGAATGAAAATGTATTTGTTGTTCCAAAAAAACACCTAGCCTACTCGCAAACAGGATCAAATTATCTAAGCCCTATATAGTTATCTATCTAAATACATTTTTTATGCAGTGGATACGTTTTAATTTGAAATAACTTATACGTGACAGATCCTGTCCAATCATAGAGGGCTATAATCATAAACAAATTGTTAATGACGTTTAAACATCACATGACGGCAGGAGTGGCTGCTAAATGTAAATAATTCCCTATTAAAAACAAAGCAATTTACTCAACTTATACGAACACTTTTATTTTAATAATCCAAGTATTTGTCTCTATATTCTTATTGGAATCCCATTGATAGAGACTTGGAATATACAATTTTATTATACAATTTCTATAGCACCACAGACAACATAGCTTGTGCACCGAACTTAAATGCTCAGATGAGGATTTTAATTTACATATTAAAAAAATTCAACAACAAAAATGGATTTTGTAGCATAATGCTGCCTTTATCATTCGCTTGGAATGCTGGCATGTAAAGTGATACCCATGGACACGATGTTCATTTGTTATGGTATGAACACCCATACTTATTATGATCTCACTTGGTCTTTATAATTGGATGCAATGTGCTACTGGAAAAAAGAAAGAAAAACTACCTGTCCCTTTGTCTCCACGCCAAAGCCACACAGGATCCAAAAATTACATGTCACCTCCGCCTTTAACTCACGCTGCCAGGCATGCCTCCGTGAACTTGGCTCTCTTTGTGCGTTGTGCCCCTATGACAGGCCGAGAGAGACGCATTGGCAGATTACAACAGGACCGTGATGAACCTGATGAATCGAGCTAAGACGGTGGTGCAGTTGAAGCCCAGGGACCCGCAGAATCCGGTCCAGGCGCTCATTCCACTCACAGCCCTGTGCGAGTACAAAACCGAGCAGGCAAGTGGGGTGGGAGGGGAGGGTCTCGTGCACGGTTGGATTGTTAAGAGCGTTGGGGTGCGAGCACGCACCGGACGCGTATCACGTAGCCAGCAAGGGACTGTGTGTTGTCTTGGTATGGCCTGGGACTGTTTTTGCTGTTGTTTTGCTGCCTTTCCCTAAGCTTGGAAATTGATGTACTAATGCAATTTGAACTTATATACTTCATTTGCATTTATTTACTTACTCTGAGTGATTTTGCTTACCTTTCCTTTTTTTGTTCACAACTCGTTGCCTGCTTAGTCTGCTTGACGGGAGGTGATTTGCGAGGCATGGTGATGTCGTCGGCATCATCGTCAGCCATGTCACACTGTGCGTGGCTTGTAAGGGGTTTCCTGCATAAGGGAGGCAGGATGTGGAGGCGGCCACACTTTTCAAAGGGACTCATTTTATCGACTATAGGAAAAGTAGTTGACTGCAATTAATCGTCAATCAATTTAATCAACTAAATATCCCGGCTCTTGAATGGCAAGGTATGGCGCTATGATTGCCAACTTACCGCACTTGGCAGTAGCAGCAGGGTGTGACTTGGCTTGTCCTCGCCCTGGGACAGGTGACGGTCTATCCCAACGACCAGTGCCTCTTGAAGAACAACTCCCACCGTACACGCTGGAGGGTCGTGGCTCCGGGCGGTGGAGAGATCACCGCTCCGTCTGTGTGCCTGCTTGTGTCACCGCTCAACAAGGAGGCCATGGACATCGCTGGCTGGCAAGCATGAGCACAGCCTGCACGCTCTTTGACACATCAGTATTATTGTCATCATCTTGAGTTTAACACATAGGCTTTTGTGACCAATATTATCCACAATAAAGGTTTCTTGGATTAGATTCGCGTAAATATGAATGTGTCGTTAAATTCGTCACCACCCGACACAGCTAATTAGTAACGTTTGTCACTGTGATAGGCTCACAGTGATAACATCACCATTGCGATATTTAACACCGAAACAGGAGAACTTCTTCACAATTCTGCCTAATCGCCTGATGAATCTGGTTGTAATCACTGGCGAAACATAACAGTACTCAAATTGTAAATGCTGCGGGTTTACTCTCCAACACACTAATGTGCTGAAGCAGTAACTAACTGGGCACTTTTTCTTTACGTGATAAACCTTGCTGTGTTGGGTGGCCACAAGTTTAATGACATTTATATTACGCGATCTAACCGAACAAACAAACTCATGTATTATGGATCATCATCTTCCTTGTCAACCATTACCCATCCACTGCTTGATCAAGGCCTTCCCAAGTCCATCGTGGCATCTCTCACAGTCATGCGAAATAACATCAGAACCTTAGAAGGGTTGTTTTTTTGCGAGTGGGGTCCATTCAGTCGGTCTAGCCCTTTAGGATGAAAACCACAGACAAGCTGAGAGACAGCCAGAAACTGGTGCCAATGATCGCCAGCTCTGAATTGCCAGTAGGTGTTGGGGGTGGGGGGGTGTCACTTTCTATGTATAATCTCCATTGAGAAATTTGTGGTATATTTTAGAATTTGGACAAGTGAGGCTGGCATACAATAGCCTGCTCTTGCGAAGGACGTCGCGGGATTTTTTTACGTTCAATGAGAAGTAGAAGGTCTTACGGTTGCTGCAGTGGCATTAACCAGCGCGGCCGCTAGATTTGAACCCCTGACCCTCTGCAACAAGCGGCGGTCGTGCTATACCGCTAGGCCAATCGATCAAGCGCCTGCACACAGCTGATGCCATCGCTCCGTCTCGCACAGCGTTGAGCAGCTTTTCTCTTTGGGACTGGTGGGACCTGCTTCATCCACACCACCCACCACTCACTTTGATAAGGATGCCACGAAAATATTTCTCGTTAGTTGTGCAATATTCCTTCAGAACCCTTCTGTAGCCTTTCTCTGCGATGTCAACGTTTTTAGTCTTTTTGTTGTTGCTGTGCTCGCGCACCGGCACCACCACGGATCTCGCTGGAAATTTAGCCGGGCAACTGGCTTAACGGGATGATCTGTGTAACAAATGAAATAAACTGAAACTCAACGTGCTGGTTTTTGTTTTCTTACCTACTTGCTAACAATCAAATGTATTAAAAATATGATATTAAGTTCAAGTAGTAAATGTATAATGGAGGTATTTTAATATGGTGACTCTTCCGCTTAGCACGGTTAGCTGCAGTGAGGGAAAAAAGTATTTGATCCCCTGCTGATTTTGTACGTTTGCCCACTGACAAAGAAATTATCAGTCTATAATTTTAATGGTAGGTTTATTTGAACAGATTAGGAGCACTCCCTTTAAGAGTGCTCCTAATCTCAGCTCGTTACCTGTATAAAGACACCTGGAGGCCAGAAATCTTTCTGATTGAGAGGGGGTCAAATATTTATTTCCCTCATTAAAATGCAAATCAATTTTAAAATTTTTTACATGCGTTTTTCTGGATTTTTTTGTTGTTATTCTGTCTCTCACTGTTCAAATAAACCTACCATTAAAATTATACACTGATCATATCTTTGTCAGTGGGTAAACGTACAAAATCAGCAGGGGATCAAATACTTTTTTCCCTCACTGTATGTATGGTGCGAAATAAGTTTAATGTATGTACCTATTAGCAATGTACATGTAATATCAAGGCATATAAAAACATCTAAATTGTGATTCTGTTTTACAGACCAGTTAAGCAAAGGTTTATCTTAAATTAAATTGGTATCTTGTCTCTCCATCCATGCAGCATTGACCAGGTGTATCAAGACAACTTCTCCCTGTGGCAGCACGTCATCACCAACATGAAATGCTTGATCATCTGGCAGTGCCTGCTTCGGGACATGGAGCGAGTGAGGACTTGGTCTGCAAACAAGGTACACATGTGGCTTCGAGTTATCACAGTTGTCGTCAAGGATGCTCTCAATCCACTGCTGGATGAATGTGCTCCCCAGGCCATCACTATCTCTCACAGTCTCGCCATGCAGAAATCCACTAAGCAATTATACAATGGGCTGATTTCATCGCTCCCGCTCCATGGTGGTCGTCCTCTTGGGCGTGTTTCTCTCCTCTGACTGCCGCTCCATTGTTAGTCTTGACCACCAGGCATCATCCCTTGTATACGCAACTGCGCACAATTCTGTGGGTCACTTATAACTGCTTTGCCATTACTTATTACCAATTATGGACTCAGACGATTGTCCTATCATCTGCTGGCTGGGCTCCTCTCCACTCCGACAGTAACTCTGTTGTTAGTGGCCGCTGTGGGCCACTGCCACCAAAACTAGCTGGGTAACTGGCTACACACACGGCATTTTTCGTGTAACAATTAAACATTGAATTTAATTGAAACGGTGGAATATGTTTGCAAGGCACAACATAGATAGAGGGAGTAACGAACACAGAAGACTGACACAGTTAATTTAATTTGCTCTAACTTTTGAGTTTGTGCTCCGATTAATGTAATTCTTTTCACCGGAATATTCTTTAAATTCGAGGGAGTATAAGAAAATGTCACAATACATTATCTTGGCATTTTATTAAAACATAAAAAAAATCAGATTACTTTTAGCTCTCCGAGTACTGGACCGTGAGAAGAGTATGAAAATGACAGCTGTCTCTTTATTTTCCATTACAGAGCAACGGGTTCTCTGCGATAATAATACATGTAATGTCCCCGAAATGTATTCTCATCGTGGCAGTCCACATCCGGTTGTGAGATTAATAAGCAGTCCTTCAGTAACACTAGGAGGAGGGCTATCCCGTTGTCCTTCCCCGCACACCTCCGATTAGCACGGTTGGCTACGTATGGTGCGAAAGAAGTTCATACATACGCACATGCAGCACAAGCCTTTCCAAGTTCTGTTGCTTTCGGGTTGAGGCAAGCTTCGACGGTGATTGCACGGTTCTCGAAATGCCTTCGATCGGCGTGTCTCGTGCTTCATGTCGTGTTATCATCGTTCTTTTGTTTTTAACCTCCACCACCACCAGCAGTCACATCACAGGAACGTGTCACTGCTCGGGGCTGGCATTAAACTTTTGAAGTGAGAGTGGAAAAGGAGCGTGTGTAAAGCAGTCCTGCCAGCGTATACTTTTAAGTTGCATATGAACCCTCCAACAACTACCTTTTGTCATAAATATGTATTAATATATTGATTGATTGGTATTACAGCTGAGGTTTTGGCGGACTGCGCTACAAAACCAGGTGACCTGAGTTATATTCCTGGCTATGGCTGACGTCAGTGGGGAGATTAATCTGAAACGGTGCTTGCCCTGTCCCACTCCGTTCACTTGCCAACCCACAATGACCAGTGCGGTGAAGTATGGTAAAAACGACTTGCGTGACCGAAAACGACATGGTGGGGGGGGGGGGGGGGTGGAAGTCCTTTGTCCCAGCTGTGGTTTTGACAAAAGTGTCAATTATCCTGATATATTCTCCAGAAAGTTACTTGCAGTTAAATGTAGGATAATTGCAATGATGGAATATTTATTACTCCTTTGGTCAAATTAATCACATCCTTTTCAGTGCCAACGCAACGATATGACTGAAAACGGAAGTCAGGTCATGACGTTCAATGCTTTCATGCATTGTGCGGACATTGAAACAAGACAAAGCTAACATGAGACGTGGCACTTTGTCATGTGCAGTTTAATTAATGTAATTTTAGGTTTAAAGTCTGAAAAGGAAATATATTTAACATATTACTAGATATGAATGGTATACACCAAGTGGTATATTTCTAAATTCAAGGCTAGTTGTTATGGAATGTGTACTATGGTGTTGTAAATGACAGGTAGGACTTATGGATTAGGGTCGGCATATTATGGGGGATTTTGCACACGAAAAAATCCCTAATCCCTTGGGCTGCAAGTAACAATTAAACAATGCCTCTGCCTTGGGGCAGACATGAAATAATTGGCGTCAAATGGCCATGGCAATCAGGTGAACTATTGTGCTACACAGATGCCTGGCCTTCATTAATAATAAATTGTGCGTGGATGATCTGAACATTGTCCACTGTTGAGCGATGGGATGATTTTGCATGGACTGTGAAATTACACCTCAAAATGTAAACGCTTTCATTTGCTACCCTTCCAGCCACTGACCGTTCCACTTGCTGCCACTTTGTTTTGTTACCTTACTCTGGGTTAAAGGATTAAAATGTATTATAATTTTTTTCAGTTCGGCAATAATTGTTGTTTGAGTTATATGGATTGCAGAGACCTATTTTTTCCTTGATACAATTGGGAAAAGCAGCCGATAGCAGATCATATCACATGCTCATACATTATTCCGAATAAACTGATTCTATTCTATTCTATTTTTATTTATTTATAAAGCTCCTTTCACCAAGGCGCTTGACAATGCTTATCGACTACGGCACAATGTAAAGATAAGGGGATGGGGTAGTGACTAGGGTGGAGGGAGCTTGGTGGAGGCTGCGGCTCAGGAGGCGTTTGGTGCGTTAGGTGGTGCTGGTCGGGGTGGCGGAAGAAGAAGGGAAAAGGCGAGTAGAGAAAAGAGATGGGACGACCTGAGAGCAGTGCGAAAGGAGGAAAGCGAGGGGGGAGAGTCTGATGTGTCGAGGGAGTTTGTTCCAGTGTAAGGTGGCAAGCAGAGAGAAGGAGCTAAAGCAAGATTTGGCGCAGGGTGGAGGAGGGGTAGCAAGAAGATGGGCAGCGTTTGACCGGAGCGGGCGTGATGGGACATATATTATCTGCTCTCACAAAAAGCAGTCTTAATCACGCGGGTGAAGCGGTGGCACAGTGAGTTAGCGCATTGCACTGTGAACCCAGCCACCTGAGGTCGATTTCCAGCCATAGCTCACATCAGTGGTGAGTGATTTCTCAAACCGGTCTGGCTCTTTTGCAAGGGCGATCCATGCTCTATGAGCACAGCAACAACAACTACAACAACAAAATGCAAAAACAATATTGCAGAGAATGCGTACAGGCTGCTTGAGGAATATTGCACAACTTGACAAAATGAGGTATTTAACAGGTCGGAAGTTAAACACACGGTGCAAATGTAATGTGAAAAGGTTAAGTACAGGTGAAAGTAAGCTCTATATTTAGTCTTAACAGTAACGTAAATACACACACATCGACAAATACAGTGGAAACATGTGGGAGCAAGAGGTGCCATAAAATGTGAGGTACAGGCACAAAGGTATGCTCTGTGTTTTGGATTAATAGGGACATAAAGAAGGGACGTGAAGGGTGTGGAGCAGTATGGTCAAAAAACCCCATTACTGACACAGCATAATATTCGCAATCCATTATGGATCGTGAGTTCAAGTTTCCTTTCAACCCTCTCATCGTTTTGTCTCGACAACTGAGACAAAGCGATCAGAGTGCCACGGTGGCGAGATGTTAACTTCCTCACCTGATATGTAGGAGGTTGTGGGTCCGATACCGACCCTGATGCCTGGATATGGGGAGCTCGCATGTTCTCCCCGTGGTCGTGTGCATTTTTCTCGAGTCCTTCGGTTTTTCCCTCCGTATTTAGAATCAACATCACGCGTTCAGAATATTTGGCCTGCAATACATTTCCACGTGACAATAAGCCACTTCGCAATTAATTATGGATTGCGAATCCATTCAGGATTACAAATAATCTGGAATTGTGTACGTACATGTGTATGTATGTGCGTTCGTGAACTTGTGGATGCGAACAATCTGGAATTAATCTTTATAAGCGAACACCCACCAGTGCGTTGCATCCAGTCAGAACAAACCACTCGAGCAGATACATACCATTCCTGTCAACCCCTTTTCAGTGCCTACCTTATTACAGACCAATTCAGACCTTATTGGTCACCCCGTGCCCTTATAGAGCTCAACGTTCATCCTACAATGTCCCATCACAAGGGCAAAACACAAAGAAAGACATTTTCTTTTTTGTCCGTATTGAAACAGCTGTACGCCGTATGGGCCTGAAAACTCGATTCCCCTGTACAAGAATATAAATAAACCGTATGGGTTGACAGGTATGCATACCGAGGAACGATCGCGCCCGTGGGCGGCCGGAACTCACACGGCCACGTCGCTTTGCACCGCGCGTGCAGGGCTCCCGCGAGGAGTACATGCGCCTGCTGCACACGCTCGAGATCAACTACGACGAGTTCCTCAAGCTGAGCGAGGACTCGCAGCAGTTCAGCGTGGACGACCTGGCGAGGCTCAAGCGCGAGTACTCGAACTGCGCCAAGATCGTGCAGCAAGGAGGTGCTGGTGGCGGCGCCGGCGCCGGCGGAAGCAGCGGTCAGGACACGGTGGTGGACGGAACCATCAAGAGGACCGAGACAAACATGACCAACACGCAGCCAGGTGCGCCCCGGCAATTCTGTCACTCCCTCGGCGAGGCTCGACACCAGATCGGTTTTGATATAGAATGTCCGTCCGTTCCTTCTCCACACGTGCTCACCACTTGGTCAAATGCAGTGGAATGTTAATCGGCGTTCATGTCCCATGAACGTTCTCTGCCTGAGGGCTGGCTCTTGAATTCAAGTTTTCCTTTCACCCTCTCTAATCGTTGTGTCTCAGTTGTCGAGGCAAAGTGATCAGAGCGCCACGGTGGCGAGATGTTAACTACTTCGCCTGGTATGCAGGAGGTCGTGGGTTCGATCCCAACCCTGAGGCCTTTGCACGTGGAGCTTGCATGTTCGTTTAGAGCATTTGGCTGTAAAACATGTCCACGTGATGATAAGCCACTTCGTTGAGCTATCATTGGTGGCCAGGTTTGTTCTGAAAAAGAGTTATATAGCTCAGTGGGTCTTACCTGGTAAAATAAAAATTAAATATTTTAGTTTATTATGCCTCTTGGTCTCTCTCCTTGTAGAGTATCTTCAGCATGCCTTACTGTCTGACAATATACCAATTCACATCCTATAAATTGTTCCTATCAGACTTCTCTCCTCTATGTTAAAAGGAGGTATACGTACCATTTACATCTCGAATTACGTTAGAATGTACACTTGTTCAGGCTACTACAAAAAATATATACACGCTAGAATATTAGATGTATAATTCAAAGACACTGCATTTAATCTCTGGTCAAGGCATTTACCACCTCAGGCAGGTTTACTCACTAATATTGACTTTGACCACCACGGACTAAATTGAGTACACAGCTTGTAAGTCAACAGGCAGTTCACTGGCTGCAGGGGCATAGTGTGGCGACTGTAACACCTTTCAGCAAACTGTGTGCAGTGCTCTAGAATTAAGCTTAACGCCTCTTATAACACAGAGGTCGCTTGCCTTAAGGGACGAGCAAGCTATATGATGGGACGTGTGATTTTGAATGGACGACGCACGGTGTGGCGATATGAGTGTTGTATTTGGTGTCTTTCCGCTTTGCGGTCTTGCTGCTGCTGCATGTAAGAGTTTTTTTTTCTTCCGGCTCGTCGCCAATTTGCTCCATGTTTCCATCATGCGGCCATGTTTCCACCCCTTTGGGTGCTGTCCCCTGTATGTTTGTTGAACTTATTTCGTGCTGTGCGTAGCCAACCATGCTAATCGAAGGTGTGGGGGAAGGACAACAAACTAAAGACGTAAAACATTTCTTGCGAAATTAGTCTTCAATCTAGATTTAAAAAATGCATCGCTCCGGTGGCTTTCTAATATCGGAAGGAAGAGCATTCCAGACAGCCGTAGAAGCGCAACTGAATGAGCATGATGCAGTGACCGTGTTTGTTCGATGGTTCGCCAAAAGCCGCTATGAGGTTGACCAGAGTTCACGTGATGGTTTATGCTCCTTGACGAGATCAGTGAGCTATGTGGTTAATTTGTGGCAAACATTTAGTGTGTAATGAGTGTGACCTTATAATGTATTGTTCGGCAATAGGAAGTCAACGTCAGTTCGGCGAGCACTGGACGGGACATGGTTGGATCTTGCAGTAACCGTCACGACACATGCCAGAGAATTGTGTACACGCTGCAGCTTGCTAATGTTTTACGTTAAAACAGGTCAGAGTGGCATCGAACAGCACCCTGGACAGCAACGACGGGCAGCAGAGCGTCACCTCGCATCTGGACGGGATTGAGAGCATCCTGGTCCGTATCATCCGCACGCCACTCAAGCAGCCCGAGCCCCTGGAGGACAGCGAGGATCGGCTGGACCGGGTCAAGGTGCGGCCACGCAGCACCCCACAGCTGCTGCTCGGCAGCGTGCCTTTCACAAGGAGATGAACTAAACTAAAACTATTTTCTGTTTTACCAGGTAAGGCCCACTGAGCTGTATAGCTATTTCTTCATAAGCGACCTGACCACAATAATAGATCAATGAAGCGGCTTTATCACGTGGAAATTTACAGCAGCCAATATTCTAAGCACACGTTTCTAAATGTGGAAGGGAAAAACCGGAGGACCCGGAGACAAATCCACGCTAGCACCTGGAGTACAGGGTTGGGATTGAACCCACGACATCTAGCCACCGTGGCGCCCACTAAAAGGCCATGCCTAGGCCAAGTGCTGTATAAGTCGCCGGTGGGCCACTACAAAAGGTTTCTTAAGAGAAATGGTTATTCAGGGAACCCTTCTTCCATACGGCTGATGCAGATGCAGAGCAACAACTATAATTTCACACTCAGGTGGTCAAGCCAGATAAACCGTTGTCAGGAGCAGCGGAGTGTATCGAAGTGATGTCTCCTTCGTGTTTTTGGATCGGGCATTGCGACGTTTATGTGTTGTATGGTCTGTTCTGGATGACCATGTTGGGCACCCCTTGATGAGCGTTACCCTTACACTTCTTAAGGGGAGCCATAATAAGCTAAACGTCTTCATGGGTTCTCTTCGGGCATTTGGCTCAATTATAAAGCATCTTAGTGCAATAGTATGTCACCGACATGATATACATCATCAATATGCGTTTGCCTGCAGAGTAAATCATCATCTTCATCGTTACCAAATTTTGGCCTGCATGTGACGTCGTCATTGTCAACGTTACCGTCACCTGCAGCGACAGCAGCAGCTCTCTGTTCACTGCTTGATGTCTCCTTGTGGTGCCAACGGGTTTTATTTCACAGATGGATGCCGTCTCACCCTTGCCTGCATTCGTATTTCACGACAAAGTAAATAATTGCATTAAATATGTTCGTGCAGGAATTGGAGGGAGTGTTGTTGAAGATGGAGAGGACAGGCAAAAGTTTTTTTTTTTTTAAACTGCAGCCATATGAGTAAAAGTATAATTGTAACCATAGTGAAAAGTCACGACCACCAGGCATTTTTACCTGTTCTCGACAACTGCGCATATGCTAATGTGTCACATACTGTACATAATGTGTCGTGGACAAAGCCTGACTGGGTATGGCTTTTTTTTCCTTTGTTTAATTAATAATGCGGAGCCTATTGAGCTCCCTGAAGTGAAACATCTGTGAAGGCTGATTTAGATGATCGAAACTTAAGCGTTTTTCTTTTTGTTTACAAACTGACGCGTGCAGCTGATACAATATGGGCCTCTTTTTTAAATTCACTTGAATTGGAAGCAGGCCATATTCAAAGGGCGGTGGCGTGTGCATGGGTGTGCCTTTACAACCGCCAGGCAACTGTATAATGTCACTCACCTGCCTCGTCTAGTACGACCAGTCACCTAGTGAGTCAGTCTTGTAACTTGCAACTCAACACCCACGGAGGAATGACGCGCGTCTTTATGGCAGTACTTGCACACACGCCAAGCGAAAGGCACACCACGTCGCCCATCTTTCACGCTTCTATATTGTGTGGTGTGTGTCTCACTTTGCGATCTCAACTTGGTTGAAAATCGAATCGTCATCGGTGTATCACTCAGTCTTCACCATGAGCAAAGTAGTTTAGTTTATTTTGTTGAACTAGGGTTAGAACTTAGAGACCGGGATGGGTCTCATTTTCAAGGGTGACTTCAGTCACCAAAATGGAAAGAGTTAATTTAAATTTAAAAAAAGTGCTGCAGAGGAAGCCAAAATAAAATAAAACATTTCCTGTAACATATTCAGAGCAAAATTAAATTTCGAGAAAATTTGATGCAGCATTCAGGTAAAAATTCAGATACACAGGCTAGGATATGTATCAGACATACCGTCCCCGGATGGAGCAATCACTACCATCAGCAACCTGCATCCACCACTTTCACCACTGCCAATATCCACTGGTTAAAGTGTCGCAAAACATATAACGCCATTGCAGTGCTGAGGCAAACGTGTAATTAATTGAAAGTATGAGTCACCAGGCCGCCTTGCCTATGACTATCACTTCAACTTTACAGTGCTTTAAAGGACACATTTCGATTATTTAAAAACAGCGAAAAGAGATAAAGGTACAGTCATAAAATTATTTCTTCACACTACTACTGGTGGAAGGGCTTTAGAGAGCCCCCACTAGAGGGTATGTACTGGCCTACTCTTCCATGTTCGCCAGATGTCTAGGAAGCTGTGGGAGTTCCCAATATTTTACCACATACAACCTTACGATTGACTTACTGCGGTGAACCCAGTTATACTGCTACGTGTGGTTAGGGGTGGGGTATCTGAAAAACTTGAGGACGTTGTTTCAGCTGCCGCACTGAGAGATTGAAGCAAGTGACCTGGATCGGGACTGAAAGTCCAGCTTGATAACTGTTACACAATGACAGCATCTTTCCGCTTTTACCAAATAGTTTTTTTTACCTCCACGTTTCCTTCAATGTATCAATAAACGGAATACAATATTACAACCAATAAGAAATAGATAAAACATACGGTTATTAAGTGTTGCTCTTGGGTTAACCTCTTTGTAGCCTTGGAAACTTACACCACGACATACAGGATACAATTTACACTGTACAGCACGACACAGCGGGTAGTGTTTGTTCGCCTGAAAATATCAACACGTTTAAGTTGATAAGCCGACAATCCATTTTCCGACTACAGGATCAATTAAAAAGGACAACAGCCGTGAGCAACTGCCTTGAATTGTCCTTATATGGGTATTGGTTGGCTCGGACGTGTGGTTAGTAGTGAATGCTCACCCTGCTGAGATCACTTGAAACGAAATAGCAGGGTGTTGTCAGTATCTCGAGGTGTGCAGGCACGGCCACCGCACGCGATGGGAAAATGGGCATGCGCGGGGATTATGCTTTGAGCTTTTCTCGCAAATGTTAAAATAAGACGCATCACAGAGCTCTCCTAAATTTAGCATCGGGAAATAATACATCCAGTGCTTCATTCAAAAGTCACAACATGACCTCATCTTTTTTGTATAGTCATATATATCCTTTTTAAACTGATGCAGTCATCCAGGCTCTCACATACCAAGACCATGATAAATGTGTATATGATAATAATAATGAAAACGGAATAGAAAGGATGAGTACCATTATTAGGAAGCCACGCACTTTTAATAAAAAAATTGAAAACTAATTTATTGAGAACTGCTTTTTGTGTTTAGTTTTATGTCCTTCCTCTGCGCCTCCGATTAGCACGGTTGGCTACGTAAGTTGCTAAAGAAGTTCAACGTACGTACATAAGGATGGGATGGCTGCACTGAGATTGCATGCAGAAAGGAACAAAGTGCAAATCAGAACAGGAGTCGGCCAAGGAGGTACACTCTCACCAAGGCTAATTACAGCCACATTGGAATATTTTTTTCTTTCTAAAATGAGATTGGAGATGAAGTGATACATTTGCTGACAGCATAGTCATCAATACAAGCAAGGGGAATTAACTACAGGAACGATTGACTGAAGGTAGAAAAGGTGGATTACATTTTTTTTAAAGATAAAAATCAACAAACGAAAATATGTGCACAATTATGCTAACCAAATGCAAATAACAGTAAAGAGGGACACAAGTGTAAAATAAAATAGTGTATATCTGTATCATTTATTCTATGCCATTAAACCATTCGTAGTGTTATATATCAAATGTGTACAATCTATTGTCATCTTGAGTATTGTGGTTGGCACAGAAAAACTCACCGTTTACAAATGTGCTCTTTTTGTTTGCGCCCACACGCCTCTGCAGAATGTTAGACACAAGCTAGAATCAGTCTCGAGCCAAGGACTGTCCCCTAACACTGCGGGGAAACTCAAGACTCTCCAGGGTCTTTCTGTCAAGTGCCTGGACCAGTAAGTGTTACCATTGTACGTGTCAGTTTCCCAGCAACGTGCATCTGTATTGGACATCCTTAATTCCTTCGCGTTGTCCTTATTTACCTGCCTTAACCGAGTCCCAGGGCACGTCTTCAAAGCGTCCCGTAGAGTGACGTTCGGCTAATCCCATTAAATTAGCATTTGGCTTGTGCGAGGAAACTGGAGTATACGCTTGGATTGCTATCGAGGCTCCACACAGGTAGATTCAATAATTTAAGTACTGTGCTGGCATCTACTGGCCACCTAACAGCCCCAAAGCCTAAAACACCCGGCATTTCCAGGCAGTCTTCCAAACGAACACTGTACGAGCTCAACTTTGTTTAGCTTCCGAGCTGTTTGACGAGATCGGGCAAATTCATGGTGATTTGGTTATATCTTCCCCCACCTACATTCCACCTCCTGCAATACCTGCAGGGTCTACGGGTTGAAACTACATTGTCGACAGTGAACTCTTTCCTATATTGTCATTGCGTAACCCAGCGTGTTGTCCCGCACAGCTACAAGGTCATCGACATGATGGTGCGAGGGGTCCTGGAGGTTGAGTCCAACATTAAGGTGTATGAACAGAACCTGGCCAAGGGAGACCTGGTGCTTAGCAGCCCAGAGGGAGTCAATGCTCACATCATGCAGCTCAAGGTAAGGGATCCACTGCTCTTAGCCATTCGTACGGCCACGCACCGCACGCTTTGACGTTCGGAGGAACTGACCGAATACGGAATAAATAGTACCAGAGGTAGAGTGCGCTGCTTGCGATTCCAGGTCAGGGTTGATGCAGTCCCTTCATCCCTACAAGCTCGATACATTTAGTGCCACTTTGTGGCAGAAGTCGAACAGTGTTTTCCCTGTGTAAATACTCGCCATAGTAATGTGGAATTTCCTCCATTGGCTCAGGGCGAGTGCTACCCCATGGCTAGTTCAGCAGAAATTTTTTTTGTATCGTTTGTTGAGAGTATAAGTACTCTTTCTGAGTGTTTTATTCTGTGAATGCCAACTTTTCAGAATGACAGATCCACCATTCTCATTGTACATAATCAAAGTTCAGGTCACATTTGCATGGTATTCCTTCACCTTTATGATTTTAACTAACATATTCACGCAAATTTTTATGATTTTTCTACCTTAAATGTAGTAAATACCAGGTCCCACCCATAGCCCCGAAGAACACTGAGATAGGGGTACCATATCAGTCAGATACTCTGTAAGATAACATTCATCTTCTTAGTTCTTTCGGTAAAGTCACGTTGAAGGGAAACAATGAAATAATAAAATATATATAAAACAATAAAAATTTTCACGACGTTTCGACCATAACACAAACGGTCGTCATCAGGTGTGTCGGTTTGCATGAATTTATTTATTTTCAAACGGTGTATTTATTTATTTATAAAAAAAAAACGTTAGCGCCACGTGCAGCGATTTGGCAGTTTATTTAGAAGAACTAGTCCATCTATGTTCTGAAAAGAGGAGGGGGGGAGACGACAAATTTTAATGTATGCTGTCTGAAAGCCACTTTAAGCGTGAACAATCAATTAAGACCTGAAATGGTTTATCAAATCTTTCCAATGCTAAGCCAGAATCCATCTTCTCGGTTGAAATTGTCCCTGTGCTTGTATATATAGATGGGACTCGTCTTTCTAAATAAACTGCCAAATCGCTGCGCGTGGCGCTGACGTTTTTTTTTAAATAAATAAATACACCGTTTGGAAATAAATTAATGCAAACCGACACACCTGATGACGACCGTTTGTGTTATGGTCGAAACGTCGTGAGAATTTTTATTGTTTTATAAATATTATTATTTTGTTTCCCTTCAACGTGACTTTACCGAAAGAGCTAAGAATATGAATTACTGCAGTCACGAAAGCTTTAAATCAAAATTTAAGATAACATTTGTTCCACTCATCAACCCACAACTCGTGCAGTGAATTATAAGTCAAAACAACTGCCCAAACAGACACACTTGAACCCCAACAGCACAGGGACACATTCACCCAGCAGTGACCAGACGACGGCCGATGAACATAAATACGGGTGTGTAAGAAGGCCAGCTCACTGCAATGTAGGTCACGAAACAGTAGCGCTGCTGCTATATTCTCGAGCCCCAATTAACACTAATCCTTTAATGCACGTAGGTTCTGAGTGTGCGTAGTTTCGATGATGCAACCTAACGCCAGAGCCTGTCCTCTGCCGTGACCAGCAATGGCTGTTGGAGATCCAGCAGAAGCAGCGGCTGGTGCTCAGGATGCAGGACGAGGTCCAAAAGGCCCAGCTGGCCAACGCGGAGCTGTACAAGATATACAACCTGCAGTACCCTGACGTGGACATCTACACCGACAAGGGGACGGGGCTCATCGAGCGCTGGAAGAACATGCAGACTCACATCAACACTCGGTAACGTGGCCCGTGATGACGGTCCAGAACAGGTGTCCAGGTTTTCTTCCGACATTTGTTGTCCATAAACAGAGGTTTTTTGGGGGTTGGATTGCGTAAACATAAATGTGTCTTTAAACCCGTCACCACCTGACACAGTTATTTAATAAGGTTTGCATACCTGTCAACCCCTTATCAGTGCCTACCTTATTACAGACCAATTAAGAATTATTGGTCACCCCGTGCCCTTATCTCAACGTTCATCCTACAAAGTCACATCACAAGGGAGAAACACAAACAAATATACTTTTTTTTGCCCGTATTGAAACGGCTGTAGCCCGTACGGACTTTAAAACTCAATTTCCCTGTTCAAGAATACGGGTGAACTGCATGGATTGACAGCTGTGGGTTTGTCATGTAAACAAAACACATGAGTTAATTACTTGTACAGCACACCGGTGTGTTGGACAGTACAACCGATATCATTTATAATTAATGTACGACGTTTTGCCAGGAATTACCACTCACGATCATCAGGCGACAGCCAGAGTTGTGGAGAAATTCCTCCTGTTTCGGTCTTAATAATAGGGATAAATGTGATGTTGTAACTTGTGAGCCAATCAGGTGTGAAAGACAGTGGAGGGGGCGGGGTTAATGTATCCATATACATTACAATGGATACAAACCAGAGTAATTACAATGGATTATCCACATTTATATTTACGTGATCTAACTCAAAAACCTCTTATGTGATAATATTTGTTGCGAAAGCCTACGTTTTAAAAGACGTGTTCTTTCCCCACACTTCAATTAGCATGGTTGGCTACGTACTGTGCGAAAGAAGGTTCAACATACATTCGTCCCCTGTACATTAAGCAGTCCCCCTCCTTAACCTTCCTTTCCTCTCTTAAAGCCTCACCTCGTCTCTCATGTCCATGATCTTCCTCTTTCCTCTTTCCTCACCCCTCTACTCCTTCCCGTCCCACCCATACCCTTTCGTGATCCCTAAGTACCCTCTGTCACTGTCACCCATTCATCAATCCTTTCCGTACGCTCCTGTCATTGACATTCGATTCTGTCACAGTTTTGTAAGCAATGTCGAACGCCTTGAATGAAGGCGCTCTATAATATAAATTAGGCTGTGGCCAGGACTCAAACTCGGATTGCCACTGCGCGACCACTCCCAACTAATTTGACACTGCTGTAATTTATTCGAAGCAAAACCTTTTCTTAAACTGCTGATCATTTTTCTTCCCAAAACTGTAGTCTTAAACCACTTGTGTGCAGAACTAAGCTCTGAGCTTTGCTGCTGAATTTGACATTTTGACAGGGTGGATTTTCCCCAGGTGGGTACAGACGGTGGTGCAGCAAAACGATGTAATGCTGATGATGTGCGGATGTCAATGGGCAGGCTGCAGAGTCTGGGAAACGTGCAGAAAATTCTGGAGGACTACAAGGTGCAGCATCGCTTTCTCACCGAGTGGTACGGAGACGCTACCCGCCAGCTGCAGAGGGCACAGGCCATCAAGGGCGACGACCACGAGGAGATTAAGTCCATCATCGCACAGCTCAAGGTCAGGGAGCACATTGTAACTCTGGCTGTTTAACCCTCTTCCGTTCCGAGACATCTGCAAGTTTGTAGGGTGGGTGTCCCGTTCACCGCTGAGTCTCGGAACACGCAAGCTGTTCAGCCTTACATTGTATTTAGAGAGGCGTAGCGCCGTTGTTTTTTTGAAAGACATTGTTCCCGCCGCAGAGAACTCTAGCGACGCGACCGCACTGTATGGTAACTGCAGCCAAACTGTGCCACGCGGCCTTCTGCATGGCCTTGTGGGCGCCTCAGTACCGATAAAGTTTTTTTTTTTTATTACGCTTCCGTTCCGATGATGTTACATGCACACGTAACGTCATACGGAATGGGAGAGAGGTTATAAACATCATCAGCAGCCATTGCTGGTGAAGGGCTCCCCTCATTTGTGGCATCCCTCACGTTCCTGAGATGCGCTGGCTGTATTGCGTGGAGACTTACCCAACAGTGTTTACAAACATCATTATTCTCGTTTGTTATTAACCAGTAATTTCCTACATGAGGGAGCTAAATTAAGCAATAAATAGGATTCATTTATACTGTCCACCAAATATTGTTAATTCACAACTTCACAGACAACGTCTCAGAACTATGTTAAAAAATATGAAAGCTAAGTTTAGTAATAACCATGGTTAGAAAAAGATGATCAATGGGAAGAATATCCAAACATCTGTAAGTTACATAAATGTCTCATCATCATCAGCTGCTGCTAATGATGTTGATGACTAATGTGAAGGTATGTATTGAAAGGCATCTTTGTATTTGTGTTGTTTAAAAGTTTTGGAAACAGGTGTGCATATGAATTGTTAATTACTTTTGCAGAAACTCCAAGATAAACTCGGAAAAGATGAACAGAAAGTAAAGGACTATAAGTTGTGCTGCGACAATTTCACTGATGCAATGAAGGTATAACACTTCACGATTATTGACCATGTACGTTAGTGAAACCGCATCGTCACTCGCTGTTGATAATGTACACACGCAACAGTTTAATCGCCACCACTAATTGGAAATGCC